ATTTACCCCAAAATTGGTTTTCTCGTCGAATCTGAGAAACTTTGCAGAAGTCTCAGTAGATTGCTGAACATTGGAGGTCTTCGTCGTAGATTTGATGGAGAATCAATTTTGGGGTAAATCAATTATGTAGTCGATCCCCTACTCGAAGGGTGGCCACCTCGGCGGCGCGCCCGGCAGGGGGCCCGGGCCGTGCGGCGGGGGCAGGGGCGGCTGGAAGGCCCGGCGCCTGCCAGGGGCCCAGGGCGGCGCTCGCGCCCAGGGCTTTCGCGCGCGCTCCCACGCGCTTTGCCTCGGGATGCGCTCCTGCCTCGGCGGCCGCCCGCCTCCTGTCCCCTCCCTCCTCCCTCCTCCTCCTCCCCTCCTTCACTCCTCCTCCTACGCCCTCCTCCTCACTATCCTACCTCCTCCTCCTCCGTGCCTCCTCCCCTCCCCCCCCCCCCCCACGATCGTGTGCCTTGGCGCGGCGCGCCCCGCCGGCCTTGCAGACGCGCCAGCGACCGCCAGCCGTGCATCAGCGCAGCCCAAAGCAGCGCTCCAGCGGCTGCGCCTCGCCGAGAAACCGCCCCGGGAGTGCCCGCGTCGCCCCGCACGGCCGCCAGAGGCCCGAGCCGTGGCCCGCACGGCCGCCCGGGACACGACCCGACCCCAGACCTGCGACGTCCTGCTTTGCGCGATGCGCGGCCCTGGGAGGCCCCGACCCTCCTTCCACCGGACCGGTTCCTCAGCCTGCGTCATCTTTGGACAGCCCCCAGAGGGCCCGTCGAGGGTTTCAAGAGGCCGAGCGCGACGAGGATTTTCCGTCCCGCTTTCCGGTGCTGACGCGATCCCGTCCGGGCTTCCATCCCGGCGCTTCCCGTTTCGTTCTGTTTCGTTCGAGGTTCGGGCTCTCTGGGGCCCGTCCGCCCGGCCCCGGGGCGCGAGAAGCGGGGGGCGCTCCCTGGGCCAGGGAGCGCATCTTGCAGGCCGCGCGGTGGCCCGGCCGTGCCGCGCAGCGTCCCCCGAAGGCCCGACCTTTGCCCCGGGGCCGGCGTGAGTCGGGCGTCGAGCATCGGGAGCCTCGAGACGGGGGTCAGTGCAGACGGGGGTCAGCCAGAGCGCCGGATCTTGCAGGATCCTGCAGCGCCAGGGTCGCATTGGCCCGGGTTTGGGTGCAGGATCCTGCAGGATCCTTCGCATTGACCCGGGTTTGGGTACAGGATTTTGCAGGATTTTGCAGGCCTGATTGACCCGGGTCTGGATTGACCCGGGTCAGAAGATCCCCGAGAGCAGTATTGGTGGGGGGGGGGGGGGGGGGCGATCCACGGGTCGGACGGCGCCCGCCAGCTATGTGCACCTACTCTCGAGGCCTCCTGGACGGGGTCGGAGTCGATGGGGTCGGAGGATCGCGCCGCGTTGCCGGTGCATCGGCGATGCGGCTCGGTCTGGAGCCCGAGTTTCTGCACGCCGACGTCGCCAGTGCATCACAGACGTTGCCGGCGCATCGCCGCTGCATCGCCGATGCATCGACGATGTGGCGCGATCTCCCGACCACCTCTACTCCGACCCCAACTAGGAGGCCTCTAGTAATGGAAGGGGGGAGGGGGCGATCCACGGGTCGGAGGGCGCCAACTATACACCTGCACCCACACCCATCCTGCAGGCCCCTCCTGGGTCCAGGATGGTCCTGGCCAGCATCAGTATGGGTGTGTGCTTAGCGCCCGCCGAAAGGGGGGGGGGGAGGAAAGGCGCACCCTTTTTGTGCCCGAGAGGGCCCTGAAGAGGCCCCCTGGGATCCCAAAAAGGCATGAGAGGTCCACGTTTCTCCCGCCCCCCCCCCCTCCCAAATGATCGCCTTGACTTCAAGCCCGACTGAGGTCGCGAGACGTTTTTTTTGGTGGTCCTGGGGCCCAGCGCGGGCCCCCAGAGGCCGACAACGACAACAGAACGTCCCGTCGTGATTTGTGACGACGCGAGCAGGTCTTGGTCTTCTGGCCGTAGCTCGGCTCTCGGGCGGCTGTCCGGATCGGGAGGAGTCCGGGCATGCCAGGAACGCCCTCGGCGAGGCGCAGCTGCTGGGATGCACCCCGAGGCTGGAAAACCGCCGCGGACCGACGAAAACGGCCAGAACCTCAACCCCGAATTAAATCAACGCCCAGTTAAATCAACCCCGAGTTAAATCAACGCCAGGACCTCCAATTAGACGACCAAACACCCCCAAATAAATCAACGCCAGGACCTCAGGGGAGGTCGAGGGGGCCGCCCGCGGAGTTCCATGAGGGACCTCGGCTATAGAACAATAGGGAACACCATCGTGGACGGATGCGCCGTTGCTCCGACCTGCGCCGAGCGCAACGGACCCCTCGGGCACATCGCTGGATTCTTGGCATCGGCTCGCGAGCCGCTCGCGAGCGTGCCCGAAAGCCTTGGGAGCCTCGTGTTTTTTCGCGGCGCGAGGAGGAGGAGGAGGAGGAGGAGGAGGAGGAGGAGGAGGAGGAGGAGGAGGAGGTCCGTAGCCATTTGGCTCAAGCCAGCCTGGCTCAAGCCATTTCCCCTCTTCTCTGGAGGGGGTCAGGGCCCAAGGTGACGCAGCAGTCTTACCACACCTGCCCACACCACCGACCTGGGCCACAGCAGGGCCGTGGGCAGGATATCGCACCTCCTTTGTTTCTCAGTGCAGTGATGGGAGGTCGCGGGGGCGGCGGAAAGGGCAAGGGCCAAGTCAAGAGCAAGGGGAAGGGCAAGCCCCAGGCTGATGCGCCCTCAAGCTCGAGTGTTGGCAAGAGCCCTGCTGCCCCCGCTTTGTCGTCTAACTATTCGTGGCAGTGCGCTGGATGCAGCGCGTTCGTGAACATGCGTCACGCTTGGTGTTGGCAGTGCGGCAAGCATTGGGAGAGCACATCAGATGTTGGCCCAGCCGCTCAGCAGCAAAAGGCAAAGACCGATGCCAAGCAGAAGCCGATCGGCCCGCATATCACGCAGCTCCAACAGTCCCTTGACATCATGAAGGGTGTCGGAGCCAAGGCCGGGTCGAGTGCTGCCTCGCAGGATGTACTGGCAGCACAGGATGCAGCTGAAGCGTTGATGGAGCGCATGAGGATGGAGAGGGACTCTGAGAAGACGGAGAGCCAGCTCCTCCAGGCGCACAATTCTCGTCTGATAAGAGCTCAAAAGCAGCTGGAGACTCAGACTCAATATGTTGTGAAGCAGGAACAGACGTTGGCAGATTTGGATGTGCAGAGGGCCCTCACCGCAGCAGATATCCAGAGCGCGAAGGAGACCCAGTCGGAGCTCGAGGAGAAGGTGATTCATCTTCAACGGACGGCTCCAGCGCGTCCAGCTGTCGACCCATATATGTCGCCGCCAGGTCTTATGACGCCTTTCATCACGCCCACGATGGGGGGACAAGGGGCCATGATGGCGGCAGTGAGTGGCATGCAGTCCGCACATGATCTGGCAGGATACTTGAACGGCCTCAATTACCTGTCGCTCAACCTCGACCCGACGCTGCGCCAGGCGCTGAACGAGCACATGGCGGTCTTCGCAGGCGCCGTGCGAGCAGAGGCGGGCATTCCAGCTCCTCCGCCGCCGCCGCATGAGGAAGCGGCCGAGGAGGCGCAGGCGGCTACCGCTGCCAGAGGAGGTGGTGAGGAGCAGGAGATGGCGCTGTCAGAGTTGCACGAGCAGAACGGCGAGGACGCTGAGATGGATCAGGCAGCCCTGGCGGGCCGCAGATCAGCAGAGGCGGCGGAGCTCGCCAATGCACCCCCAGCGCGCCGTGCGCGCCAGGAGGGCCAGGAGGAGGCTGCGGCCACGGGCCTGGACCCGTCTGGCGGATAACACTCAGTGTGAGTATGAGAAGGGCGGCCAGCTCTTAGTCCAGACAGTGAATGCCAACTCCTGGACCAGCGCGGCCGCCTTCGTGATGGGCACATCTGCCCATATAGAAATCGTTCAAGAACATAAACTACATGGTCAGCCCCTGCTAGAAGCCAAGGGGCGTCTACGAAAGCAAGGGTGGACAAGTTTTTGGGCTCCCTGCGAAGTCACCCAACGAGGTGGGAAAAGCGCTGGAGTTTGTATTTTGGCCAGGGCTCATCTGGATGTGTGGCAACCCCTTCAGAGCCTGGGGCCCTGGTTGAGGCCCGAATCCTCCATTGCTACTTCAGAAGCAAGTCCTTGGGAGTGGTCTCGATTTATTGTAACTATTGGAAAGATGGGATCGGTCTGGGGGAGCAGAATGTGCGACTAGCGGTTGCCTTGGGAAATGATATCATCAGGCGCAATGTACCTTGCATCTCTGGCGGGGACCACAATTTAGAGCCTCATCTGTTCAGAGAAGGGTTTTCGCCGCATAGGTTGAACGGGCAGCTTGTCATTCCGAATCCCAGTCAGACGTGCTTGTCCAGCACGCCAGGTAGATGCCACGACTACTTTTTGATCAGCAAGAACTTGCTTGCTGGCGTTGAGTCGGCGAAGGCCGATATGCAGTCAGATTTATTCCCGCACCGACCTGTCACTCTGAGGTTTAAGCAGGGGGTGGACACCATCATGATCCAGAGGCTATTGAAGTATCAGAAGCTCCCAGTGGATTTACCCATAGGTCCAGCCCCTCAGGCCCCGAGTTATGACAGCATCCTGGAGACTCTTGAGGACCTCATCTTGCCGTTCGAGAAGGATGGGGGTTTCAGGCTTCCTAGGGATGATGAGCGGGATAGGCTCCAACAAGGATTGGATGGGCAGTATGAGAGGTGGTGCGAGCAGTCCTGGGGGGAACTTCGGAACACGCTTCAGAGTTTTCCAGAAGGTCGGGCTGGAGGACTCCCCTATCAGACAGTAGAGGTTCCCATGGTCGAGCTCCTCTGCACCAAGCGCTCCCCGTCGAGAAGCCCGTGCCGTGCTTTGAAGTGGTTGTCGCAGCGCTGCGCAGAGCTTTTGGCTTTTGTGGAGCAAGAGAAGTATCACACGCATAGGCAGTATTATGATAATCTTGTTCGTTCGAGTTATAAGGTTTCGAAAGCTGGTGGTATGTTCAAGTACCACTTTGCTGGAGGCCGTGAGTTTTGGTGTGGGGCCTTGGAGGCCGTGCTGATTCCTCTCTGGAACCCCTTGGAGATAGAGTCGGTCCTGCCTGCCCAAGCCTTAGCCGCGTTGAAAGCTCTGGCCGATCATTTGGCGATAGAACGTCTTTCTAGAGAGAGGGCCGATCGTTCGGCCAAGTGGAAGGATTGGTGCACTGAGGCGCTGGCAGGTGGAGCGAAGTGGGCTCACGCCTACACTAAGGCAGCGGATGCTCGAAAGCAAGACCTGCTGCCGACCGACGACGGCCGTGTGACCTCGTGCCTCGCCGCCCAGCTCGCTCAGGAGAAGGAGAATTGGTCAGAAGCTTGGGGGGCCAACAAGAAAACTGCTGGAGGCCCACTGGAATGGTCTTCGTATAATATTCCAGAGCCCCCGAGCCCCGAGGAGATCATTCGCATCTCCAAGAGCTTCAAGAGAAATACGATCGCAGCAGATGGGTACCATCCGAGGCATTATCAGTTTCTCTGCTCACAGGCCCTTTCGTGCCCCAGCTGTATGTTCTGTATTATGCTTATCCTGGGGTCCACCCCTACTTGGATGCAGACCCTTGTGGTTGCGCTCTTCAGGAAACCCGTCTTGGGACGGAGGCCAATAGGCTTCTTCCAAACCTTGGTTCGGACATTGTCAAGATGGAACACCGTTGTGTGCAAGTCTTGGGAAAAAAGCATTTCGGACGGTGGTATCTTCAGTATGGCTCCTGGACGGAGCCCGACAGATACGATTTGGCGCCAGACTGTTCGAGGTGACCTTGCGTTTTCCAGGCGAGAGCACGTGCTCAGCCTGCTTGCCGACTTGAAGCAGTGCTAGGAGCACGTGCAGCGCCAGCAGCTGATCAATTCGGCGTTGGACTGGGGATTTCCGATGCATGTGCTCAGGTTTTCTATTCACACGTACGCGTGGCAGAGGATCCTGAGCCTAGACGGTATGTGCGCAGATGCAGTTATGCCAGCTCAGGGTATCGTAGCGGGAAGCAGCACGGCTACATATGAGATTAAATGCTACTGCCTTCCTACTGTAGCGGAATATTGTGAGTGTCGTCTGCATCCCGAACTGGCTGTGCATGTGGATGATTTTAGTCTCAATGAGAGGAACGAGGATTTGGAGCTTTGTGTGGTCAATATGGGTTTGGCTGTTGCTTTCTTGGTTGATCGTTTATCGAATTTATTTAACCTTCGTTTCTCTATGAAGAAGTTCGCCATCACAGGAACCTCTCCAGAGCTGGTAGCCCAGGCCCGTCTAGCTCTAGATCAGTATGCTGGCACATATGGCCCGTCGATTGTCAACCTAGGATGCGACTTCGCGCCAGGTAAGCATTTGAGCGTCAGGAAAGCCAAGCAGAAGCGAAATGAGAGGTGGGCCAAAGGAAGGAGGAGGTTGGGGAAGATTCGAAGCCTTCGAAATCCCAAACGTGCCAGGGCGAAAATATGGTTCTGTGGTGTTAAGCCTGCCACTACTTATGGGGAGGAGGTGGTGGGTTGGACGCCGAGAGAGATTCGCAAGTTACGAAGTCAGGCTGCTGGCTTTCTTGGATTGACATCCTGTGGAGCCGATTTAAATGTGGCACTTTCGCTGGAGCCGACTAGAGATCCTGTCAAGCATGCTGCTGCTACTCTTCGTCGCTTTGCTAAAGAAGTCTGGATGGCATCTACTCCTGGGCACCGCCATGGCGATGGGTTGTCTGTGGGGGAGCTTTCTAAGATTTTGTTTGCTGTCCAGAATTACATCCAGGAACACTCCAGAAGTTCATGGGCCAAGAAATCCTGGGGACCCATAGGAGACATGATTCTCTGGCTCGGCGTGGCGAACTGGCAGATTCGAGGCCCGCTCAGTTTTAACATGAGCAACGGGGACCCGCTGCTGTTGACAGATACGCCGTTCGTGCAGGTAGAGAAGTACTTCGTTCGAGATTTGTCTAAGGCCTACGTGGCCCAGAGTATGAGCAGGCACCTGAGGGACTCCGAACATCCGAGGGCTCTGGATATTTTGCATCGTGGGCTGTGGACGGACCCGCCGAGGTCCTTTTGGGCCAGCAAAAAGCGTCATCGTGGTGTTCAAAAAGCTGTCAAAGAGATATTTTGCAGGTCGTATGTCACGGCCAAGCGTTTACATGATTGGAAGTACGAGATCCCTCCAGTGTGCCCTTTTTGCAGATCCCCCGAGGGAGGGGCCGAGGACACTGTATGGCACCGCTGCTTTGTCTGTCCAGGTCTCCCTGACAGGCGAGATGAGGCATTGAGTGCTGATGTGGTTCGGCTAGCTGTGGAAGCTGGCCCCGACGATCCTCTCTACTCCAGCCTGTGGGGCGCCCAGCCCGAGGGGATTCAGGATGCCTTGTGGGATGGAGTGGTTCGGTATTTCGACAGGTCGGGGGAAACAACCAAGTTCATGTTCAGCCGTTGCGAAAATCTGTACTCGGACGGTAGTTGCTACTCCCCCACCCATGTTTATGTGGCCCGTGCGGGCTGGGCCGTCATTCAAATAGACGACGCAGGGGACTTTGCAAGAGCTGTGTGTGGCAACCTGCCTGGTTTTCTGCCTCAGAGTGCTGTGTTCGCCGAGCACTACGCTTTGCTCCAGGCCCTGGAGCATTTTGCACACACTGGCGAGGACGAGCCGTTCAGGCTGAACGTGGACTGCCATGCCCTTTTTGCAGGCCCTCGAGATCAGAGGGCATCGACGAGCGGGAGAACACCGCTCAGTGAAGTCTGGAAAGTGCTCTATTCCTCGCCCCGCCCGCCTTTCGTGTTGAACAAGGTTAAATCTCATGTGGGGGAAGACGTTGTTGGTGCGGCTCGGGTTCATAAACGTGGAAACGATTATGCCGACGAGTATGCAAAGGACGGGGCCAAAATGCATCCCGAGATGGCCCAGAACATTGTCAAGTACGAGCTGGCTCTGAGCAGTTGGGAAGTCTTTGGCAGTAGGCATGGGCAAAATTTTAGACAGCCTTCCAGAGGCCAGATCTCTTTTTGGTAAACTAGAGCGCGCCCCGAGAGTTCCCAGGCCTGTGGTCCTCCCCAGCGGCCTGAAGCCTCATCGTGTGCGCTGGAACGGGTGTAGGTGGCGGTGCCTTGAGTGCGCCCGTGCTTTTGATTCTAAGAATCCTAGGGGGTCCTGCGCGGCTTTAACCCCCTCAATGCGTTCGTTAATTAATCAGGTCGGCAACCCCAAGCCCCACACACTGCATGTCGCCAAAATTGTCCAATCTTCTCTGCCTGTGGTGTTGTGCCTTAGGTGTGGGGCGTATTGTACTGGGGCTCCTCGCCAGCTGCTGAAACCCTGTGGTAAAGTATTTGCACAGCAGAGGAGACAGCTTCTGAGAGGCGACCTTCCCTGGCCGCGGGGACAGAATATCACAAGCCCTTGGCCACTCAGCCTCGCGCCTCATGAGGAGGCGGAGTGGTGGACCAAGCTCTTTTGATTGTGTTGTTGAATTGTCTTGGCGTGCTCGCCCTGTCGGGCGTGTTCTTTGGCCACTGCCTGCGGGCGGTGGCGGGGGCAGCCAGGCACCTGGGCCTCTGCCCTGCGCCTGCGCGGCGGTCCTGGCCTTCGGGCTCCGCCCTGCAGGCGCGGTGTAGAGGTGGTCGGTGGTGTTTGGGGGCCCCGTTGCAGCCCCTTCGATCATAGATTGGTGGGAGCCAAGCGAGAGCCACTGGAAAAAGAGGAGGAGGAGGAGGGGGAGGAGGAGGCCGGAGGAGGTGCCCGTTTCGTGTTCTTCGCGGCGCGAGCACGTCTGGGCCTGGCAGCCGCCGCGAAGGGCGCCCCCGCGCCCGCCCGCGCGGCGCTGCCCGCGGCCGCGCCGGCGGGCGTGAAGAGGACGGTGTGCAAGTTCTGGCTGGAGGGGCGCTGCGCCCAGGGGCGGGCCTGCACGTGGGCCCACGGCGAGGAGGACAGCTTGGCGGGCGGAGAGCGGCACGAGGAGGAATCTCTGCGCTGCGCCCGGGGGGGTCCTCGAGGAGGTGGCCCAGCGCCGGTTCCGGCGAGCAGGAGGGGGCCTGGGGCGAGGCTCGAGGTCTTGGGCTCGAGGAGGTGTTCTGCCTGGCTCCGCCTCCCGGGGGGGGCCGTTTTCGGGCCCCGAGGCAGTCGGCCACAGATCGGGGATGAAGACCTGCGCCAGATGGACTCCGGGTTCCCAAGCGTTGCCTGGCGCTCCCGGGCGCATCCGAGCGCTCCCAAGCGTTCTGCGCGCAGCCAATCGCTCCCAAGCGCTCCCCGGCGCTCCCAGGAGCGCCAGGGGACCGAGTTTGCGCGGCTTTGCCCTCCCCCCCCCCCCCCCCCTCGTGACCGGTTGTCCCCGGGGCCTATTATAGCGGCTCAGGCCCCCGGCCGCCTTCGACGCCTCTCCTCTCCCCTGACGTCGGATCTGCCGTGCGTCACCCCAACATGCTTCTACTATATGTGCGTCGCCCCCCCCCAGGGGTGACGCGCGCACCGAGAAATCTTATAGTATATGCGTCGTGGCGGGCGCTTTCTGGCCACACCGCTCGAGAAACGATACACTACAAGATGGGCATACTATATGTTGGGGTCGGACGCGCGCCGCCAAGGAGGACACGTAGTATTAGTATGTCTCTGTGCGTCCCATCTCCCGCTCTCACATTGGTGTCGGCAACGTACCCCGAACGATGCGAAAAAGTAAGACGGCAAGGTCCGCCTCAGAAACGTGGGGCGGCGTGATTCATGCGAGGACTTGGCGGAAGCAGCGACGGCAAGGTGGGGCGGAAGCCGGCATCAGAGGAGCTTGGATAGTAGGGCGGACATTTCCAGCACACTTGCGAAGTCGCCCGAAGTACGGTGGATCAGGGGCCAGGGTCGGGGACGCCTGGCGGCGGGCGGCTGGAGTGCCCGCCCCGACGTGCCGACGTTAGGGCCGAAGCTTCCCGGCCGCCATGGGACAGGCGTCCTCAGTGGCGAAGGAGGCCCCTGAGACCTGGGGCGGCCAAGAGGGGGGTGATGACTAGGGGAGGGGTGAATATCATGGCGTGGGCCATTATATTTCCTCAGATTTCATGGCGCCTCTTCTTATTTCAATACGTCCCCTGCCCCCCCCCTGGGCCGCGCACATGCCGCCGGCCATGATTTGCGCCCCCCCCCCTTCTTTGACGCCCCCCTCTTGGCCGCCCCCGATAAGAAGCTGGTCTGCAAGGGCTCTATCGTGTCATGCTACGGCCGGCGGGTGCGTCGCCGGCTCCCAAATCCGTGGCCCGTGGTCTCTGGTCGTGGTCTTTGGTCGTGTGGCCCGTGGTGTCTGGCAGTGGTCTCTGGCCGTGGTCTCTTGTCGGGACGTGGCCCGTGGTCCCTGGTTTTTTCGTCTGGTATCGGATAGCAGAGTATATGCCGTCAGGCGCGTTGCGGAACGCGGTCATGCCCACCCGTCAACTCTGTCAGATACGTTTCTTATTTCGAGACCCATCGCATCCGAAAAGGTACCATTTTGCCCAAGAAGCCGTAACGAACACCTCTTGTTCGATTGCTGAAGGTCTGATGAATTTGTTTGCCGGGTTCTTAAGGGGGACATGCAAGTCGGTTAAGTCATGCGTGCATTTTGGTAATGGCGTTGATGAGCGTTGGCGCGCGCATGAATTCCTGACAGTGCGTTTTCCAAATAATGCAATTGTAAAGCAACGTGCTGTTCACATGATGTTCAAGAGATCGATGCTGAAATGTTTCGAAAGCACCGGTTCTTGATTGGTGTTGTGTTGCGTGCGCGCGAGCGCGCGCAGGCGGTTTTACAAGGGGTTCGCAATGTAGATCGGAGGTGAGGGGGTGCGATCGAAGTGGAACGGAGAGCCCCCTACCGGGAAATCGGTTTCGGTTTCGTGTTCGTGCGTGCCGTGCGTGCGGGCGAGGCGAAGCTGCGTGGGCGGGCGAGAAATAAGTCTCCTGTAGCTGAGGCGCGGCCGGACCAAAAGTCTCCCTTCCGGCAACCGGTGCCCCGCGGTGTCCCGCCGGTGTCACGCTCGGTGGCCGGTGGCGCGCCGGTGTCCCGTCGGTGTCCCGGTGATGATGATGATGATGATGATGATGATGATGATGATGATGATGATGATGATGATGATGACGTTGACGTTGATGTTGATGTTGATGATGATGACGATGACGATGATGATGATGATGATGATGATGGTGATGGTGATGGTGGTGATGATGGTGTCCCGATGATGATGATGATGATGATGATGATGATGATGATGATGATGATGTTGACGATGTTGATCATGATGACGATGATGATGATGATGGTGATGGTGGTGATGATGATGGTGCCCGGATGGTGATGATGTTGATGATGATGATGTTGCTGCTGATGATGGTGATGATGCCCCGAGGATGATGTTGATCATCCTGATGGTGATGATGATGAGGTTGATGATGATTTATTGATGATGATGAAGATGATGATGATGGTGTCCCGATGATTTTGATGATGATGATGATGATGAGGTTGATGATGCTGCTGATGATGATGGTGATGATGACCTTTGTGTCCCGATGATGATGATAATGATGATGATGATGACGAAGATGGTGTCCCGATGATGATGTTGATGATGAGGATGATGATGATGAGTTGGTGATGATGATGGTGGCCCACAGAAGATGATGATGATGCTGATGTTGATGACTATGATGGTGTCCCGATGATGTTGATGATGATGGTAATGATGATGATGATGGTGACGATGATGATGGTGCTCCGATGATGATGATGTTGATGATGATGATGCTAATGATGATGGTGGTGTCCCGATGATGATGATGTTGATGATGCTGTTCATGATCATGATGATGAGATGATGATGGTGATGGTGGTATTCCGATGATGATGATGATGGTGTCCCGATGATGATGTTGATGATGATGATGATGATGGTGACGATGATGGTGTCCTGATGATGATGATGATGATGATGTTGATGATGATGTTGATGATGCTGATGAGGTGATGAGGATGATTATGGTGTCCCGATGATGATGATGATGATGATGATGATGATGATGGTGATGGTGATGGTGATGATGATGATGATGATGATGTTGATGACGTTGATGACGATGATGTTGATCATGATGATGATGACGATGACGATGATGATGATGATGATGATGACATTGATTGTGATAGCGATAGTGAGATCGATAGTTAGACCGCATGTGAGATCGATTGTGAGATCTATAGAGATCGATAGTGAGATCGATTGTGAGATCGATAGTCAGATCGTTTGTGAGATCGATCGAATGAAATAGATCGTGTGAGATCGATTGTGAGATCGATCGAATGAGATCGATCGAGCGAGACCGATAGTGAGATCGATAGTGAGATCGATAGTGAGACCGATCGAGTGAGACGTTGGTTCCTCCCCCCCCGAACCTCCTTATCACCCGAAGGGTGGTCGTATAGGTATACACATGTTCACCGCATGCGTTTGGGGATGAAACACATGAAAGTAAGATGAAAGAGCCCAGGCTGGACCCAGCGTCGCACATATTGATATTTTTCACGGGTCAGATGGACATGGGATCCATAAAACCGACGCAGCACACATTGGATATTCACCGGGCAAGATATGGTTGGTCCGGCCCATCGATTCAGATATCCAGTTATTTGTGGCAACTTCCGCCAGCGTGCTTGTGCAACAGAGCTCACTAGCGGGAAGGAGTTTGGATTCTGAACGGTTCGCGTATCCCCACCATCACATTCAGGAACGATGCTGGGGAAGCCCTTACCTGGGGGGCGTGGCATGATTTGAAGAGCTCGGGAAGCATCTGTGGGTCAGAGGCTTCCTTGAGATCTCTCGGAATATCTTGGAATGTCTCTGGACGTCTTGCAGACCTCTTGGCGGTCTTCAAAGCCTCTTCGGGGCGTCTTGGGGGCCTCTTGGAGGCCTCTTTGGCCTCGTGGGGGCCGTTTGGGGGCCTCTTTGGTGCCCCTCGGGGCCCTCTTTTGACAGGTATTGAGGGGGGCTGCTTTTCGTTTCTTTTTTGTAGAACGTACATACATATGCACACATCGATGCATGCATGTACTTAGCTTTGTGTGTAGTTGTTGATGTTTGTACTTATGGTTTGACTTCTTAGCTATTTGATTATTTATAATTGCATGCATGCGTACATACATATAAGCATGCATGCATGTATGCATGCACGCATACGTGCATACAAACGTGCATACATACACACTTACATACACCCATAGACACTCAGACATGCACATTGTATACATACATACGCGCATACATACATGCATACATACGCACACACAAACAGGCTTACATGCATACATACATACATACAGACAGACATACCGACAGACAGACACACTGACAGACACACAGACAACTACACTCATACAGACATGCATACATACATGCATGCATGTATGCATACATACATACGTACATACAGACATGCACGCATACATACATGCATACACACATGCACACATTCACACACACATGCACATACCTCTATACATATACATTTGCATACACTTCTATCTGTACAGGCGTACGCATATACCTCTACATAGACACAGCAAGACAAATATATATATATATATATATATATATATATATATATGCTCGCCCCCCCCCCCCCAGCGCACCCCAACGACCATCTTTCTCTTCCTCCTCCTGGCTCCCTCACGCTCCTCCCCTCATCAGGCTCAGCATGTTCGATGGCGATTGTTCGAGAAGGCACCTGAGGCCTCTTGGATGTTCGTTGGGATATGGTGGGAGGCATCTCGGGGATCTGTTGAAAGCAGTTTTGAAGCCTCTTAGGGGCAGTCTGGGGGCCTCTGGGGGCCTCTTGGGCGCCTCTTGGGCGCCTCTTGAGCTTCTTGGAGGCCTCTTGGATCCTCCTGGAGTTGATGATGACGAGTGCGATGATGATGATGATGATGATGATGATGATGGTGATGGTGATGGTGATGATGATGATGATGATGACGATGATGGGGCTGAGGACGACGACGATGATGATGATGATGGGGATGGTTCTGATGACGATTGCGATTAAGATGATGGCGATGGCAACGATGACAATTGCAATGATGATGATTTTGATGATGGCGAACACTATATTTCATCAGCGTCCTCACGCTCACTTTCATCATGTAGTTAACGTATTGTGCTCAAGCCGTTGCCAAGCATACGCTAACGTATTGCGCATCTGGGTGAAGTGCGGGACCCAGATCATTGACCGCGTCTGGGGCGGGTTGAGGCGCCACCTTGGCCCCAACCGCAAGGTGAACTCCCGCGCGCTGGCAAACAAGGTGAGGTCCTTCCAGTGGTGCTACTGGAACAAGGGCGAGGACCTGTGGGCGCAGACGGGCAATATGCTTACCGTTCTGTTCCAGCAGCAGCACGAGTGAGCGAGCCCATCTGCCGCTGCAGAGGCACTGCATACCTCCGTCTCAAATGCCACCTACCCTGGCCCCGCACTGCTTCCCGCACGGCGAAATGTTGGGCCAGCGCAGCGAGAGTGCCCAAGCGATATGTGTGCGGACGTGCATATTGGTTCTGAGGTTCGAGAAAAACTACGTAGTCTGCCCGCATGGAAAGTCCGCCCGCAAGGGTATGATCAGGGGCAGCCGTCGCCGTCGTCGCGCCGTCGTCGTTGATTCAGCCCCCGCCCCCCTGCGGTTACCCCCGCCCCCGCTGTGTCCTGCCGCCGCCATTGATCAGGCTTGCGCAGGGTCTCCGAATACATTCGCACGCGCACAAGCCCCTGGTATATCTCTGCTCATGACCAGCCTCCCCGCCCTCGGAATGAAGTCCCTGAGGGCGCACTTGGAGGTCGAGGGGGCGGACGGCGAGAAGATCCAGCAGGTATTCGAAAAGGTCCGCGGCCACGGCTCGGCCGTCCCGATGTACCAGACGGCGTTGCACCCAGAGGAATTCCAGGACGATCCCCCAGCTCTCTACTCTGTAGGGGATCTCCCCCTCATGCCGTCTGAAGGTTGCAAGAAGATGAAGCATGCCTTTGCCGTTGTCTTGAACTACCAGGGGGACATCGACATGGCCGCGGTGCGGGAGGCCATGGCGGTCAACGACTACAATGGTCTGCCAGAGCTATTGCGCCCCAGAGCAAACTGGGAAGCCCTTTACACGATGCAGTTGGCACTGGTGCCCGCTGGCGACGGCGACGGGACAGACATCATCAAGTACTTTCTGTTCTCGGGCCCGCAGCCGTTGGTCGACGTCGAGAACCGCCTCCTGCGTGAGAATGAAGTGTTGTACACGCTATCTTGGGGCAAGGGAGCGGACGTCAAGACGCCGTGGAAAGTCTTGGTCTACATGCTGGATCGGCTCGGTGGCGCGCACTTCCGTTACCACCTACCCCCGCAGGAGAAGGGCGAAAAGGAGAAGAAGAATAAGTGCCTTCCCCAGGACATGATCGTATCCCAGTGCCAGTTCATTAAGGACAACGCCCCGCGCGGCAACTTCGATTGCGAACAGATGATGTGGATCGACTTCCAGCTGAACGACCCGCAGAGCCCCATCCACAGCTGGAAAGAGGGGAAGATTAAGGAGGTTCTCTCGCACATTAAGGACCAGGGCATTCAGGCGAAAAAGATCACGTACCACCCCATCTTCATCTTCGACACAGGGGGCGAGGGCGTCGAGCGCGCGAAGCGCATCGTGCCCACTTTCAAGAGCCACTCCTGCCTCATGGTCGGCGAGCCTGGCGAGGGGAAGACGCCGTACCTGGAGACGCTGGCATTCGCCATGGGCGACTACTACGCAGACAAGCTGGGGGACCGCGGCTTGGCCTCGTTCAGAGAGGGGCCAGACCTGGATTTCTTCAGGGCCGAAGAGGGCACGAAGCACTGCCCGTGCGTCCTTGATGACGGCGACTTGTTCGAGCATCGCCCGAAGACGTTGAAGGCTTTCTTGGACGTCGGCCAGTTCCAGGCGATGACGAGGGAGCGGTGGGGGGCTGCCAAGTTCGTTCGGGGTCAGGCGCGCTTCGCCGCGGAGAACATGTACGACGAGACGGCTGTCCCCACCATGGACGCGTGGCGCGGTCTGGGCATCTTGTCGCCAGCTGAGGCCAAGCAGAAGCGAAACCCGTACTTCTTCGACATGCTCAAGCGCACGTTCCCCAAGGACATGTCCAAAGCGAACGTCATGGCCCCCTTGAAGCGGTCCTCCGCGGTCGTGAACACCCCCAATGACGCGTTCGAGCGCTTGGCGGGTTTGGACTCGGACGTGACGAGGGCCCCGAAGGTTGGCCACTACATTACCAAGGCAGCGGGGAATATTCTCCACGACTACATCCACAACGGCGCGATGCGGGACGCCGAGGAATACAATTCGCTGAGGGGCAAGCAGCTCCGCTTCATGAAGGCGCTGCTGGACAAGGGTTCCGTGCCCCTGCCTCTCTCGGTCAAGGAGGAGCAGCCGCCTGACGGCGCCGAGGGCGGCAGTAGTTCGTCGGCGGCCCGCGAGCCCCTCCCGCCCTTGCCCAAGCGCATCTGCTGGGCGAGGTCGTTCGGGAGCATCCCGGAGGTCGAGATCGACCTCTCGAGCTCGCCCGAAGAGGCCCGCGGCGCCGCCGCCGCGCCCAGTAGCCAGGACCTCGCCGCTGCGCTCGCCGATGCAGACAACGGCGATCCGCTCGGCCTGGGCGGCGGAATGAATGCCGATGCGTCGGAATGAGCGGGCGGCCGCTTCGGCGGGGGGCAGCCAGCGGCCAACGCTGCCCCTCGATATTATAAATGCTGATCGATTGTACACTGGCTGCCCCGACTATGCCAAAGACGAGGGAGTCACAGCAGCAACCACAAACGCTACCTTCCAGAAAACGTTGTCGCCACGTCGTCGTCACCCTCATATTCTTTGTGAACTTGTTCTTCCTTTCCTCACCGTTTGCTGCCCACGTCTCCCGATCGGCTGAGCAAGGTCTGCTGCCCAAAGCTAGACACAGAGGGTCCATAAGGCGTTGGTAAGGACACCTTGTGAAAACACAAGTCCCGTCCATGCTGCGGCCGCTGTCGTGAGGAAGCCTTGTAACACACACACGCACACACACGCACACACACACACACACACGCACACACACATACACACATACACACACACGCACGCACGCACACACACACACACACGCGCCTGATAGTTTTAATCGTTTTCGTAAGGGAACTCTTATGAAAACGCAGGTATTCTTGATATGTTTGAAGTTTTTGACAAGAAAACCATATAACAACACATATGTTCTTGATATTTTTGATGGTTTTCATAAGGAAACCATGTGAAACACACAGATACTCCCGATATGTTTAATGGTTTTCGTTAGGAAACCTGGTGAAAACACAGATATTCATGATATTTTGTGGTTTTCTGGAGACGGGCGCCCCTCTTCCTCTTGCGCCACCAGCCTTTGCAGCGCGCCCGTATCAAGAAAACCCTAAAATATCAGGAACGTTTTTTTTTTTTTTTTTTTTTTTTTTTTTTTTTTTTTTTTTTTTTTTTTTTTTTTTTTTTTTTTTTTTTTTTTTTTTTTTTTTTTTTTTTTTCATAGGGTTTCCCAACGAAAATCACCAAACATATCAGGAATCTATGTGTTTTCATATGGTTTCCTTACAGAAACCAAAAAAAAATCAATAATATCTGTGTTTTCACAAGGTTTCTGTGCGACAACCTTTCAAAATATTAGGAATAGTTGTGTTTTCACAGGTGTTCCTGCCTGGCGCATTGTCCCTGAGGGGCGTGGACCTGGGGAGGGAGCAGGGGGAGGGGCGCCCTTTTCCAGAAAACCAACAAATATTAGGAATATCTGTGTGTTCGCAGGGTTTCCTAACGAAAACCATCAAACATATCAGGAATATGTGTGTTTTCATATGGTTTCCTTGCCAAAGCATTCAAACATATCAGGAATATCTGTGTTTTCATATGGTTTCCTCAGAGAGCAGCCCCTTTTGTAAGGCTTCTCATAAGGAGGAGGAGGAGGAGGAGGAGCAGCAGGAGGAGGATGAGAGGAGGAGGAGAAAGAAAAGAGAGGAAACAGAGGAAGAAGCAGAGAAGCAGGAGGAGGGAAAGGAGGAAGAGGAGGAGGAGGAGGAGGAGCAGCAGCAGGAGCAAACGATCAATGATGGATTTGTGGTCGTGGGTGGTTTGGGGTGCGCTGGGGGGGGGGGCGACCATATATATATATATATATATATATATATATATATATGTATACATAAATATGTGTATATATATGTTATACCTACATACGTACATACAGGTGTACATACATATACGTATACATATACATAAACCTATACCTATACGAGGCGCTCACGGGCGGGCACCAGCCGAAACCCCGACTCCCATCCAGTTCTGTCAGAAATCAAACTAAGAACCCCTGCGTATGTGCAAGCACTGCAAGGGGAACCAACTCACAGCAGAGGAGCATTCTAGCACGCCCACTCTGTGCAGGCACGGCGGCGGATCATACAATATATTCGGCTAGCATGACTGGTCAGGGTTTGCATGACCTTTCGTGGCCTCCTGCCGCCAAGGGTGTGATTTGTCCTTGCCGCGATCCTTCCGCCAACCATCGGAAGCCCCGTGTCGCAGCGGGCAGCCCCGAGCGCAGCGGCCTTCGCCGCTCCCCGCCGAGGAGGCCCCGGCGCGGCCTGTGCGGCCGGTGCCGCGGAAGCGCACCCTCTGCAAGTTCTGGCTCGCGGGCACTCGGGGGGGCTCGATGCACACACACACACACACTCTCTCTCTCAATAATCCTCAAGATGTGTTGTATACCGCACCCTCCCCGCCCCAGTCAGACTCCACCGCCCGGGGCCACGCCCCAGGGAGGGAATTTTGTATACCACACCCACGACCAAGACCCTCGCCCACCTCGCCCACCCTCGCCGCCGCCGCCGTCGTCGTCGTCGTCGTCGTCGTGGTCGTCGTCGCCCCCCCCCCCACACGCACGCACGCACGCACGCACGCACGCACGCACGCACGCGCACGCGCGCGCGCGCACGCACGCGCGCGCGCGCACGCACGCGCGCGCGCGCAAACACTGCGTCGCTCTGGGCGGCCGAGGAGCCGCCCCCGTCCTGGCGAGGGCGCGCGGGGCACGGGCGCCCCGTGCACCCCACAGCAGCTCGGGGGCGCGGGGGCGCCCGTGCACCGAGGTCCACCACCCGCCAATGGAGGGCCTGTTTTCCACCACCACCACCACCACCATAAGTTGGAGAGGGAGGGGGTCCTCCTCCTCCTCCTCCTCCTCCTCCTCCTCCCTCCTCCTCTCCTCCCTCCGCCTCCTCCTCCTCACTCCTCCTCCTCCTCCTCCTCCTCCTCCTCCTCCTCCTCCTCCTCCCTCCTCTCTCCTCCTCCTCCTCTCTCTCCTCCTCCTCCTCCTCCTCCTCCTCCTCCTCCTCCCCCTCCAACTTATGGTGGAGGTGGTGGAAAACAGGCCCATCAGCCAAGCCACCCCAAGCCAACCCGAAGGCCCCAAGTGTCTAGGCCTCCTCGAGCTCGAGGGGGTCCGAGCAGACGAGGTAGGAGGATCGCGCCGCATCGCCGATGCGTCGACGGTGCGGCTCGATGTGGAGCCCGTGTTTCCCCACGCCGACGTCGCCGATTCATCGCCGACGTTGCCGATGCATCGCCGGTGCATCGCCGATACATCGCCGATGTATCGGCGATGCGGCGCGATCCTCCGACCCCATCTACTCCGACCCCATGTAGGACGCCTCTGAATTTGCCCTCCAGTCCGAGTGAGGGGACGTCGGGGACCATGGAACCAAAACACACGTGGAACCCGTGCCCCCTCAACCCAAAATTCGGGTCTTCGGGTCAGGTTGGGGTGGTCTGCTGGGCAGTTCGAGGTCCTCAGGTCACCCCCGGGGGCGCGGAGGTCATCGCGCTGCGCGCAGGCGGCCGCGAAGCTGTCCTTCTCCAGGGCGGCGGCGCAAGGGCGCGAAGAGCACCGCGAGCCGCGCGTCGCGGGGCGCGGTGCGCGAAGGCCAGTGGCCTGTGGAGCTCCCTGGCCGCCCAAAGCGGCGCGGCGCACAGCTCGGAGGCCCTCCCAGGCACCTGCTCGCAGCCGGAGGGGAGCTGCACCTGGGCGCACGGCGAGGCGGAGCTCGGGGCGGCGGTCCCGGCTGCAGCCGCGGCGCCGGCGCCGTACCTCATCCCCGCGGCGAAGCGCCAGCGGACGTACTGAGCCGGTCTCTGGGCGCGCCGCTGCTGCTGTTGGCGGAGGGGGCAAGCGGGGAGGAGGAGGAGGAGGAGGAGGAGAGGAGGAGGAGAGAGGAGGAGGAGGAGGAGGAGGAGGAGGAGGGAGGAGGGGAGGAGATGAGGAGGAGCAGGAGCAGCAGGAGCAGGAGCAGGAGCAGGAGCAGGAGCAGGAGCAGGAGCAGGAGCAGGAGCAGGAGCAGGAACAGGAGCAGGCGGGGGGTGAGCTACGTGCGAGGAGCAGGCGGGGGGAGCGAGGGAGGGAGGGAGGGAGGGAGGGAGGAGGGAGGAGGGAGCAGGGAGGGAGGAGGGAGGAGGGAGGAGGGAACAGGAGGAGGGAGGAGGGAGGAGGGAACAGGAGGAGGGAGGAGGATAGGGAGGAGGGAGGATGATCTGCATGTGGGGTTGGTGATAGGCCCCTCCCTCCACGCGGCCGCGGCCGTGGGCGAGCGCGTGTGCAGGGTTGTGATCCGAGGCGCGTCGCGCAGCGGTTGCGGCAGGCAGGAGGAGGGAGGAGGACGAGGAGGTTGGTGGGGGGGGGAGGATGAGGAGCGAGGATGATCGGCCTGTGGACTTGGACGCAATGCGGCTATAAGTTCAAGGCCAGCGCGGTGTTTTCGGGGCCCAGGCCGTAGCTTGCGACGGAGCATCGACGGAAGCGGCCCGGCCACGTGTGCCGTTCTATATCACGCAGGGCGGAAGCATGAGCTGCTTCGGGTCGCGCCGCAGGACAGAAAACGGCACGACGGAGGAGGCACCGGAGGAGGACGGCGGGCGGGGAGGAGGCGGCGGAGGCGAAGGAGGAGGACGAGGAGGGAGAGGAGAGGGAGCACGCAGAGCGCAGAGCGCAGAGCAAGACTGGCACGCGCAACGTGCGCCTCCACCCTGGGGCCCCCGGGGCGCGCGCCGCGCGGGCCTCGCCCTCCCTGGGCGCCTGGAGAGTGGCCGCGCACCCTCGGCCCACCAGCGGCCCGAGCCCGCCTGGGTCGGGCGGCGAGAGCTATGTCTGACTCGGGCCTGTCCCTCTGCAGGAGGAACCTTCAAGAATGGTAGAAGGTAGTATGGGGACTATCGTATCGCGTTTTTTCTACCATTGTTGATTTTTTTGGGGGCTATTGTTAACTCGTCCTCGGAAATCGGCCTGCAGGGGGACAGGCCCGACCTAACATTTATGTTGAGAGGAGATGTATCGCAGTCGTGCGCTGTGCTGGCACGGCAGCGATGCTCCGAACAAGCGTGATGAAAAACTGGTTCAGCCCACCAGCGGCCCACCAACGGCCAGAGCCCGCCTGGGTCGGGCGACGAGGACTGTGTTCAGGGGAGGAAGAGGCACCGACGTCGCTACCCTGCCCTCCGATACCACCACCCTGCTCTCTCTTCCCTTTTCCGGCCTCCTGGGCGGCCCTCGTCGCCACCGCTGGATTCGCCTCGAAGTCCTGGTCAGAACGCACCCTGGGAGAGGCCCGGGGAGTGGCCGTGTCCGTACCTGTCGGTTCCCCCAGATACATGTACTGCACGCACCGACCCCAGCCTGGGCCATCCTGGCCCCAGGGATCGGTGCAGTCCGCCTCCCTGGCCAATCCAGGAGTCACCGAGCGCGTTTCACTACTCGCAAACGTCCGAAAGCAACATGTTTTCTTCTATGGACTTGATCGTGGATCTCCCGCGGCGGATGCAGGCCATTTGCGAGTAGTTGCTTTGCGAGCAGTGGAACGCGCTTGTCTAAGGAGGGCGCGCGCACCGCCCTCTCTCCCGGGGGGGCGCGCGCAGCCGGCGCGCGCGAGGGCGCCGGCGCCCCTCCGTGCCCTGCCTGCTCGGCGGCCGCGCCGCGCCGCGGGCGCTGGAGGCTGAGCGCCAGCGGCGGCCCCTCGTCCAGCAGTTGTGCGCGATCTGCGCGCTGGGGGAGGGCGGAGGGTGCTGCCACCTCGACGGCCGTCCACGGCGGGGCGGCGGCGAGCGCCAGCGGCAACGCGGCGGCGGCCCGCCAGCGCCAGCGCAGCGAGGAGGAGGAGGAGGAGGAGGAGGACCGCTCGCCCCCTTTGGCCACGCGGCAAGAGGAGGAACAGGAGGAGGAGGAGGAGGAGGAGGAGGAGGAGGAGGAGGAAGAGGAGGACCGCTCGCCCCCTTTGGCCACGCGGCAAGAGGAAGAACAGGAGGAGGAGGCGGAGGAGGAGGTATATACAGGAGGCGGAGGAGGCGGCGGAGGAGGAGGCGGAGGAGGAGGAGAACTGCTCGCCCCCTTTGGCCACGCGGCAAGAGGAGGAACAGGAGGAGTGCGGAGTGCGGAGTGCGGAGGCCGAGGGACGCAATGTCCCGACACAGGCCGCCTCAGGAGAGAATCAGGTTCACCTCGCTGAGGGCGTCGCGGGCGAGCTCCCGATGTAGAGGCCCTCGTACACGTCGTCGTTCTCGCTGTCGCTCTCCTCGATGAAGGGCCCGAGCCGACGATCGCGCTGGCGTTGACGTGCGGCTTCCCGTCTGTCATTTGCGCAATGACCTCGCACGTTCTTGAGAATGCGGGTGCCCAGCCGCATCGGCGGCGCCGTGGCCGTCAGCATCCAGCTAGGCGGTCGTCGAACTGCCCCCTCGACTTGATCATCAAGGCACGGCTGGCACCAGCACAACGCAGAGTGGCGCATCCCGCGAGGATTCCTGTACGTCCTCCGAGAGCCGTCTGGCCATAGTTTGGCCACGGATGGCCTCAACCATGGCACTCCAGGACGACTCGGCGAGGGCCTCGGCAATGGCCCCCTCCTCGCTCCCATCCGAGGACAGTGCCTCGGGCGGAGCGGCATCTGGATCCCAGGCGTCGCTGGCCGCAGCCACCTCACCGCCCCCATCCGAGGACAGCGTCTCGGGCGGGGCGGAAACGGGATCCCAGGCGTCGAAGGCAGCGGGCGCCAGCTCATCCAGGAGCACATCTGCTTCGCAAAGGCCTCCTCGGCAATGATGGGCACCAGCACCAACGAAGAACGTCGGCGCAAGCGGACACCAGCACCACCTGTAAAACGGAATGGGATCGGAAGGCGGCACACGACTTTCGGCGGCCCGCTTCCCACGACCTCTAGCTCCGAACGTGGCAGGCTCCGCGACGCAGATCTCCACGGAGATGTCCAAGTCCGTCGCGTCTCCAAGCCGCCCCTCCGTGAACTGACGGCCTTCCAGGCGGTCGCTCTCCTGCAGGCGGCGCAAGTCCTCGCATGGCGCCGTAGCGATGGACACTCCCTCAGGGGCATCCGCATGCAGCGCCACGCTGCGCCTTAGCACCTCCTCGGCCGAAGGCGCCCCCCCCCCCCGCAGCAGAGCGCTCAGGGCTGGCGCGAGGGTGGCGATGCGGTCGGCGAGCTCCGAGTCGCCGACGACGGCCTCGAAGCACTTCCGCACCGTGCACAACTCGCTCTGCGCCGCGTCGCGCTCGGCCCTGGCCGCAGCCAGGCCGTTGTCGGCAGCCCCCAGCGCCCGCCGCCGCGCGGCCGTGCGCTCGGCCCGCGACCGACGCTGCTGCCAGCCTCCAGGATCGCCGTCCAGCAACCCCGCCCGTGCCATCATGCCCATAAGCCCAAAGCCTTGCCCAACCAAGGCCCTCACGCCCGCCCCGGATGGGGGTACGCCGAGGGACAAGTTCCAGGAGCAGGGGGCTTACGGAAAGGCATGAGCCAAAATGCCTACGGAAGGAGGAACAGGAGGAGAGAGAGAGAGAGAGGAGGAGGAGGAGGAGGAGGAGGAGGAGGAGGAGGAGGAGGAGGAGGAGGAGGAGGAGGAGGAGGAGGAGAGGAGGAGGAGCGAGGAGGAGGAGGAGCAGGAGCTAGGAGCAGGAGCAGGAGCAGGAGCAGGAGCAGGAGCAGGAGCAGGAGCAGGAAAGGACGCAGGAGGCAGGAGCAGGAGCAGGAGCGGAGCAGAGCAGGAGCAGGAGCAGGAGCAGGAGCACAAGCAGGAGCTAGCGCGGCAGGAGCAGGAGCAGGAGCAGGAGCAGGAG